AAATATTTGATTGAATTGAATTGAATTGAATATAATTTTTTTTTAATTTTTACAATGATATATTAAAATAAAGTTATTTTAAATTTTAATTAAGAAAATTATTAGTAATTACACTAAAAATTTCAAAACTAACTTTTACAAAATATGTTTAGTAACAGGTGAATTTTTACTATTAAACTTAGTAAAATAATTCTGCAGTTTTAGTTTTATTAAGAAAACTTAATAATAATCGCTATTGCAGCTTCAGTTTATTAAGAAAACTTAGTAATAACTACCATCGCAGCTTTAGTTTTACTAAGAAAACTTAGTAATAACTGCTATTATAGCTTCAATTTTACTAAGAAAACTTAATAATAACTATCATCATGGCTTTGGTTTTTCTAAGAAAACTTTTGTGACTTTTAGCCTCTAATCATCAAAATGATTTTGATTATTTTGATAATTTGGATATTTAAAATAATCTATTTTGACTTTATGTATAGTATTGATAATGCTAATAAAATATAGTTAGAAAGAAAATAACAGATAATGCTTTTAGATACAACTATCTATATATCTTGCATAGACTATAACTGTATACAAGAATCAGAGACTGATACTAGCAAATAGGGTTTTGCAATTCGATTTGATATTTGAATATTTGATTTGATTTGATCAAATTCAAATCAAAAAATGATTTATTTGATCAAATCTAAATCAATGTTTGATTTGATTCGATCAAATTTAAATCAAGTATTTAAAGATTTGATTTAATTCAAATCAATAGTAAAGTCATCTCCAAAGCTTTAGAAGTAATTCTTGCTAAGAAAACTATAGTAAAAAGTGCCTCTGCAACTTCGGAAATGCCTTTTTTACTAAAAAAAACATAGTAAAAAGTGTTTCTGCGGCTTTGAAAATGCCTTTTTACTAAGAAAAACATAGTAAAAAACGCCTTCACAGCTTTTAGAGATGTTATTTTACTAAAAAAATATAGTAAAAACGCCTCTGCAGTTTCGGTGATGTTATTTTACTAAGAAAACATAGTAAAAAATGCCTCTATAGCTTCAGAAACATTTTTTTAATAATAAAATGGTTACAAAGCCAAGATGGCAGTTTTTACTAAGTTTTCTTAGTAAAACTGAAGCTGTGATAGCAGTTATTACTAAGTTTTCTTAATAAACTGAAGCTGAAATAGCAGTTTTTACTAAGTTTTCTTAGTAAAACTGAAGTCACGATGGCAGTTATTATTAAATTTTTTAGTAAAACCGAGATTACAGAGTTATTTTATTAAGTTTAATAGTAAAAATTCACCTGTTACTAAACTTATTTTGTAAAAGCTATTTTTGAAATTTTTTAGTGCAATTACTAATAATTTTCTTAATTAAACCTTTATAATAACTTTATTTTAATATATCATTGTAAAAATTAAAAAATTTTTTTATATTTGATTTGATTTGATTTGATTTGACAAATATTTGATTCAATTTGATTCGATTCGATCAAATTCAAATTGATTCAAATTGATTTGATCAAATATTTGAGTTCGATTTGATTTGATTCGATTCGATTTGAAAAAATCAAATCAAATTCAAATTGCTTAAATATTTGATTCAATTTGATTTTGAGGAACCCTACTAGCAAAGATAAAAATTAATATAAGAAATAAAGAATTTGTAGCAGGACTTTGATTTGTTACTTTGTCATAAGTATATTTTATTAATGATATTTATCTTAAATATTTATATTCAAAAGACTTCAACATATTAATAATTATATAGATTAAAAGAACGAAAGAAGAAAGAAAAATGAATGATAACTATAATATTCAAGATAGCATAAAAAATCAAAAAGAAATAAAATTATATTTTCAAAATGGAAGAACAGCTTATAAAAATGAAACAAAATAAAATAAAAATTTCAAAATAGTAAAATAAAATAAATTTTTTGGTTTGTTTATGTTTGTTATTTCTTCATATAATGTTTTATCATTTTTTATCATTATATAGTTATTGTTTTATTTGTTTAGATTTTTTTGTTTAGTTTAGTAAAGATCATTATGTGATACTTTAAAAATCAATCAGATATCAACTCAAAGTTAAAGCAGGCAGACAGATATTTGTATCACTGCTTCTAGAATATATATAGTTTTTTATTACATTTCAAACTAATTAAATAATAATTATTTATAGAATTAAAGAATCATTAATTAATTATATTATTAAAAATGTAATTTTTTTTGTAAAAATTATATAGTAATGAAAATTTTGATATATAATATTTTTATAATTTTTATTATCAAAAATAATGTTAAAATTCAATTTATGATATGTATACAAAGAAATTTACTACTTTAAAGTAATAAAATTTTTATCAAAATTTTTATAGAAAAATTTTTTTAACAAGTGAATTGCAGTTTATTTAAAACATAACATACTTTATAATGTTGAGTATATAATTTTTATATTAATTATAAATATTATTTAATATGTATATTTCAACCTTTTTTTAAGAATATATAAATTTTAAGATATAATTAATAATTATGAAATGGCTGATATATTTAAATAAATAATTATACAGGTATCCTTTCTGTTTAAGCAGCTTTTCAACATATATTTGAGATTTATAAGAAAGACAATTTCTAACTTAACACGAGTGACAGAGATAAATTAAAATAAATTGGAGGTCATAAACATGGATATACGTCACGATTTTACACAAGTAATCTGACTAAAATGTTATTGGAACCCTTATGTTTCACAAACTATTCAGGCAACTGTTTGAATGATTTTTCAAACACCAAAAACGCCAAAAACAAATATGTTGTCAAATCATAAAACTCAAATCACGGAGACATTGTTTCAAATAAAAATGATATATAAATATTTTTTAATTGTGTAACCCTAAATTGACCCCCCCTTATCTTTTAGATACTTCAGATGCTAGCTTGAAACCATGTGTTTTCATTACAAATCAAGTAATCATTAATTAATTTCGCTTTTATTTTATTATTATTATAATTTTTTTTAGGATGCGATCACATTATTCTTGGAAAAAAAGAACTATAATTAACTATTTTTGAGAAACGCGTTAAACTAATTGATAAATATCTTTCAACTTTAATATAAATTTGAATGATGATCCAAAAATCATTGCCTTGAATTTCCAATTTAAAGGAAATCAAATCTCCGTCTCATCGTTTCGCATATCACGTGCTCCGATCACCATATCTTAAAAAGTTCACCGAAAACGATTTCTCGTCCTAAAAAATAACCTAATGTTGTAATATCGGAGTTATAAGTCACGACACATAAGTAATATAATAACCGCCACAAAAGAAACATGGCGTGCAATTACGACATTTCCGGCAACAAGTCACGTTCATCAGTAATTTTCTGATTTTATACCTTTTTCTTCTTTGACATAACTAAATTAAACAATGAAAAAGGAATTTTTTGTACATCGTAAATCCATGTTTCTAACCTTTCATTGAAACATTTCTATATTTCACTGAAATGATGGTTTATCTCGGAGAATTTGCTCCTGCATCACAAAAACATGTTGGTGCTTATTTTTAGATGAAAAGAACTAGAATATGCCACCATGAATGCATTAAATAAAACAAGAATTAAATGATGATGTTATTCAATGCGGTGGTTCATTATCAAAAACATCGTATATTAGTTCATTAATGATGTGACATGGCATAAATCTATTGTTTTACAGTAGGTACATATTTTTTTTTTTACCGCCAAGATCTTATCACATATTTGATTAAAGGTTCCGCAGTAATTTACTAATTGTAGAAACAAAAAAAAACCTTTTTAAATTTTTTTTTTTTTTTTTTTTTTAATTTATGCATTCGAAACAATCATTTAAATCTAAATTTGTCAACCATCACATTAAGGATCGTCATACTAATGCTTATAATTTCGGTGAGATTTCTCTGATATTTGACGATCAAACGCCAAGAAATGGAAATTTCCAACATTTCCCATGACAATAATTTATCATATAATATTACTCAAATTGGGGGAACATAACAATTTTTTTAATATAATTTTTATGTGACATTATACAAAAAAGAAACTGGGAGTACCACCGGCTAAACTCAATTTTTTATGACACCAATGAAATCTAAACAAATTTTTTTTGTAGTCATATGTTCCAATTTCCAAAAATCTAGAAGGAACAATGTACAAATTTGTGATGAATAAAAAATGGGCGATCACGACCAAATATATTTCCTTTCACAAAAAGGGATATTGATCAGGGTATATTGCAGAACTAAGCCTCAATTTCGCCTTTTTTTTTTTTAGCGATGACTTCGATCATTTACTTAATTGTCATTTCTTAAAAATAATTGAATTTCAAGCGCATATATCATCAAAATTTTCTTAACGCGAATATTAGAATCGTTCTCGCCTAAACTCCGTCAATCTCCATTGAGGTTACTTTTGGAAAAATTGATTAATTTAATTGTTTTCAAAAGATTGTTATTGTTGTAAACTTATGATTGTTTTATCCGTGCAGTTATATATGTGTCAGGAACAATTTAGAAATCGGGAGAATTTGAACACGTCAGTTCATACTTCCGCAGTTCGAATATGACAAATATGGCAAGTTCGTCAAAGAACGTTATTCGATCATGTGTCAATAATAATAAATTTAAAAGTGATAAAATCGATTTTAAAGTAAAAAGTATAAATAATTGTTATTAATTATTACCCGGTAAAAGGGAATAGTTTAAAGAAGTATGATGACAATCCGTCAGCCTTATAAGCGGACATGTAATTGTCTAGTTAATTTGACAAAATGTTAACGTTCGGATATGTGATCAAATCCTTATAAATAAGCTTTTTGCAACATGGGTGAAACTTTGAGAAATCTTCGTTTTGTCGCATGTTTTAACTGTTAAATAAAATACACCATTTTTAGTTTTTTCTACTTGAATCTTCCGATACCTTACCCCCTCCCCTTCCCTTCCCTCTTTATTTTCACTATTTGTTTCCTATAAAGAAATGGTGTATCAGCAGCAGCAACAAGGGCAATACGTTTTTTACGCGAATGAAGGTTATGATAGAATTAGCTCTATCTATAACGTTTCGTCTAATGTTTCCATGGTTCCGCCCTCGCCACCGGAACCGAACGTACCGATTCACATCGAAAATTACGAAAGGGATGAACTAATTGTATACTCATCGAACTACAAGTTCACCCTTGAGATAGATCAACTCCTAACGAACTCTTCCACTTGTCGAAGAGCTACTCGAGGAAAAAAATCCGGACCACCACGTCCTCAAAATTCTTACATATTATATTTGAGAGACACGACTGCAAGAATCAAGCAGGATCCGGAATTTTCCAAGGAGCATCCGAGCAAAAGGTCTAAGATCATAGGCAAAATGTGGAAGAATGAGCCACAAAGCGTCAAAGACCTTTTTGAATCATTGGCTAAATTGGCAAGGAAAAACCACCTTAATACGTACCAGAATTACCAATACAAACCGAGTAAAGCTCAAAAAAAGAATTCTGTTGAGCAAAAATCACAAACTCCGCCCCTCTCCGAGTCAATCGTGTCGACACCCGTTTCCACGCCGGTATCTAGTTCACCGACTTTAGATTTTGACGCCATATTTGATTTGAATTTATATTACGACAATTCAAGTCATGATTCACATGGTTGCGTCAGTCCATTGGCTGTTCATAAAGTGAACCCATACAAGCCAGATGGAAATTATTTCGAAAGCGTTTTCAACGATCCTTCGAGCGATAGAACCACCTTATAATGCATATCGCCAGACGGTACCCTCTCACATCAATAATTATGAAATCATTTATTTACCCCCTTAAGATTTACTTTTTAAGATTTAAGATTTAAGTTTCGATTATTACTTAAGATTTTTTATGCGTTTCCTTCCTTTATTACGATAATTTTGCAAAATTACTCAAGTTTATGAAATAAGATTTATAAGATTTATGAAAATGGTATTTATTTTTTATAATAATAAAATATATGTGCATATATGAACCAAATATGTTATTTTTGTGAAAGCTAAAATTTTTTTCTGTGCGAGGTGATTTACTTGCGTGATTATTCAATGTGATATCATCAATTTGACAATACGATACGATATGATTAAACAAATTTCCGCAAAAGTATAAAATTTTTTCTTTTTTAAAAAAAAAAAGAGTTTTAAATTAAATAAATAAAAAAAAAAAAGAAGGAAATCCGCATGACATAATGTAATCATAGTAATCGAATCCTTAAAAAGAAAACGGGATTCTTAAAAGAAAAGATACATATTATGCAAAAGGTAACGGCATTACGCAAATCACCCAAAAAAATAACAAAAGCTTTTTGTTACTGCGTGTACTAAAAAATCGACAAAAGAAAAAAATTACAATTATCAAAAAATTTAAAAAATTTTCTATAAATATAACCCATGGGTTCATCGAAATTGCTACTTTCAATTTTGCAGTTGTTTTTTTATATAAAAAAGAAAGTAAAAAAATAACAAAAAACAAATTTCAAAAAAAAAATTTTTTCTCAATCAATCAATTCAATCAATATGACCCGTAGTAAAATGAATGTATTTAATCAACAGAAAGGATTCTCGGTTTTCGAAATCGACCAAGGAGGTAGACCAAAAGACTTTACCTCTTCAAACAACGAAATGACTCCCCCAAATCCCAATAAAACGATTTCTTTAGACAACAACGCATTGAGTGATTACCAAATCGTTTACAATTCGAATTATCCATTTACGATTGACCGGGAAGTTCTCATAGAAAGTTCAGAAGACACTCGTAGGGCAAAGAAACAAAAAAGGACGGGCAGCAACAAAGCCCCGCGACCTCAAAATTCGTTTATGTTATACCGTAGGAACATGAGCGCAAAGTTGAAGGCTGAATCTGCTGATAAGAAAATGAAAGCAGCATTACGTTCAAAAAGTATTGCCGCCATGTGGAAAACGGAGACTGAAGAAGTGAAGGCCCTATTTAACGCTCTTGCCAGGCTCGCAATGCAAAGACATATTGAAGTTTTCGGCGAAGATTATAAGTATCGTCCGGAACCAGCAAAAAGAGGAAACAAAGTAAAGGGCGGAGCAAAAAATAGGGTCAAAAGAGCCAAAAATAACGATGACACTGACACCGATTTCGCTCAAACAACTGATTCTGAATTTACTACTAATTCAGAACAGTCTTCGCCGGATACCTCTTTTCTCGATGATCCTTGTTTACCCATCGAAGATTCTCCACCAACTAATTTTTTTCCCGAATTGTCTGATTGCATTCTTTATTTTAATTTCCTTAAATATCATAATACCGTTTATCTGCACACGTTTGAACAACTTCAACAACATCAACTTATTTTGAATCTTCAGCATATTCAACATCATCAATATATTGCTCAAGATCAATATTTCAACGAAGAACCAACATTTGAAGAAGACAATAATGAGGATCAATATTTTGTCTATCTTTCAAAAAAAGATCAAGATGATGTCACCAAACAGCCCCTCTCACAACCAGAAGTTCCTTTCTTTGAACTGGAACAAACCAGTCATCTTCTCTCACATAATTCAGGATTTGAACAACCTGATTTCATTACTTATTAGATAAAATTGATTTCGATTCTATAAATGAGAATATTTTTTTTTAAAAAAAAAAAAAAAAAAAAAAAAGAACAAAAGAACAAAAGAACAAAAAGCAAAAAAAAAAAAAAAAAAGAATTTAAGACAATTAAGACAATTAAGAACTTTATTTTTTACCCTAAGATCGATTACCCTTTAAATTTCATTATTACCTTTAATTCAATTAAGATTTATCTTCCAATCAATTTTTTTCGTTAAGAATTTCCTTCCGTTAAATTTTTTTATTCCTTAAGCATTTCTCTCCGATAAATTTTTTATGTCTCAATATTTATTAAACCCCCTCCCCCAAGATTTCAATAAAGAATTTCCTTCCTTTGCCCTAAGATATTTAGTTTAAGATATATTTTTTTTAGATTAGAAAATACGAAATAATTTGTAAAGTTTTATCAAGATAAATGCAAAATGCAAAATAAAAATTAAATTATTCTATAAATGGTATTTATGGTAATGATCAATGACATTGTGTATAATGCAGTAATGATAAATTCATTCCTAAATTGAATCTAGTTCGTTTACTTCAAATTCTAAACGATTTGTTTTAGGAAACAGATTATGCAATGTATATCAAACGAGCCACGAAAGTTCTCATGCTAGTTACTGCGGTCCTGATCCAAAGTACCGGAAAACCCACTTCAAGAGTAGAAACCTGGCTAATACAAATATGGACATCGATGAAAATTTAATAACTTCACCTAGTTTCTTATTAATATGCAAGTAAATAAATACGGATCCTTGTTTTTTTATTTTATGAAACTCGAACGACGCGCCACGCCCGCGCGATATACAAGAACGATATAAGCGTGACGGTTACGCCACGCTTACTTACGGCTGTAAGTTAAAGATATTCCGGATCTCTTTAGTATACTATTTTGTATATATTACATATATTACAATATTATATAAATCAACCGCGTGGTTTTATCTTTAAAGTACTTTATTGTAAAAAAAATATATAGTAAGTGGTTAGTTAATTATAATTACTGTTTCAGTTAAGCTTTTTTTAGTGGGGTATTGATAAGCAATCAATAGGTGATCACAAGGCACTCTCTTTCATAAAAGAGTTTTTCCAGATCTTGCATAAATTGTACGTCTGAAAAAAATAAAATTGGTTCATAATATAATAGAATTAAGATTCCAAATAATATCTGCGGAATCGGCGGATTCCTTTTTTCACCCAAAAAAGAAAAAAATTCTTTCAGGTCAGGAGGTTATTTTATTGTAAGAAAAAAATATTTAAATGTGATGAAATCGAATATACAAAGTTTAACTATAAAAATTTCATTTTGAAAAGGTAGATATACAGTTTATATAATTGTTTTGACACACACAGTAAATAATAATTATAATAAAGATAGTATAATTTGATTACATAAAAAATAATTGTTGTTTCACAAAGTTGCTGCGCATTTTCGGAAAAACTCATCAATTTATTATCTTTGATCATTAAAACTCATAAAGGTAATTTTCTTATATATATGCTTTCTCATGACTTGAAGGAATCCTTTGAGAACTCCTTGTTTTTTTTGTTGTTTGCTATTAAATATCTTTTTAGTCTAAAATATCCTTATTCCTTCAATTTTTAATGAAATATGGCTAAAAAATCCAAACAACAACAATTACAAGGATATCACGTTTTTAACGTGAACACTTATATCGGTTCGAAAATCTCCCCATCACCTCCAGAACCGAATAGGCCTATTCGCATTGGTACAGAAGTTATCAGCGATGAAGAATTGGTTCTCTCATCAAATTATAATTTCAACCTTGACATCGACATTCTTTTATCAAATTCTATGACGACAAGGAAAGCCATTTATGATATGAAAAGAGGAATTTTTAGACCTCCACGACCTCAAAATGCCTTCATGTTATATCGTAGAGATAAGTCATCTGGTCCCGATTATTTCGGATTAAAATCGTCCGAGACATCAACGATAATTGGCATTATGTGGAAGGCCGAATCGAAGGAGGTCAAAGGTCTATTTGAAGCCTTGGCAAGGATGGCTGAAAAAAGACATTCCGAAAAACACGAAAATTATAGGTATGAACCCAGAAAACCGTCTGGTTTACCTAAATCAAAGAAAAAGAGAATGGAAAGTAATGATAAGAATTCGACTGATGCGGTTACCAATCCGTCACTACCACCCATCGAAACAAACAACCATATTGACGGTTCTGTTGAGTTCAATCAACATCTTTACCTCCAATGCCCACAACCCTCCTTAAATCCATGTTTTTATGACTTCATCCCCACCAACATGTTCGAAAATAAAAATATAAATGACATAACCAAAGAAGTTAACGTGACAGAAGTTGTAAGTAATCCTTCTCAAACATATAACGAATATACCCTCGATTATTCAGAATATTTAAATCTAGATATTTGAAAGTGACTCAGACTGTTTTACCGAGCCTTTACAATTTACACTTTTTTTACTTTTAAGTTTTAATTAAGTTCTCTTTAAGTTTTTTATTAAGAATTTTCACCAACTAAATAACATAAATTAAGAAATATTTTAAGATATATATTCTTTTTTTTTTCCCCCAAGATAAATGCGATGGCGATCGTATATAATTAATCCTGAAAAAGGCAAGCACGCACGGTAATACATAAATATTCCACAAATCCCCATGTCACATTTCTTACATATCCCATTCCTACGAATCACAAGTTCATAATCGTATCTTTATTACATTCACTCTTTTTACTTTAATATATACATATACATATTATATATATATTATTTTACTTTGACAAATTTTAAAATTTACGCTTCTTTCATTATTTCATCATTAATTTCTAATAAAAACCTAAGTAAATTTAAGTTATAAAATAACTCGAGTGATTTGTGATAATACAGGAAAGTATTTAGGGTAATAATCTTCATGTAGATTATTTAAATAAATTTTTTTTTTTAGATTGTGATGTTAAAACACAAAATAACCAAATATAGAACAACAAGAGCAAAAGAACAAAAGCAATTATTTGTTACACGGGTTACACGCATCATTTATATTTCTATATTTATTAATACTGCGGTATTATCTGGAAACGTCAGATATAAAAACGCATTAAAACGCATTAACATACATTCAAGTTTCAAAATTCAATATTCGTTTGTAAAAATCCCCCCAAAAAAGTATTATAGTACGAAAGTTTAATTTTTACAAATATTTCCTCAAAAGTCGCACTTTTTTCAATACAATAAAGCTTTTTGACACACGAATACACAAAGCTAAATTTTCTTTTTTTTATCATTCTCGCAAGAAACCTTAAATTTTTTTTTTAAAAAAAAAATATATAATATGGAACAAGTACTTCGTTTTGGAAACGAAAAGTCCGATGAAGAAACAGTATATGGTCTTATTGGTTCAAGTTATCCATTCAATATTGATGTTGAAACGCTTTTAACAAATTCAAACGAGACCCGACGTGCGAAGAGAAATATAAAAAAAGGAATAATTGGAGAACCCCCACGGCCCCAAAATTCGTGGATTATTTATGGGAGAGATAAACGTGCTAATCCGGAGTTTGTTGGAAAAAAACAAAAAGTTATTTCATATGAAATTTCAAAGCTATGGAAAAAAGAGAGCGAGGAAGTAAAAGGATTGTTCGAAGCTCTAGCAAGAATGTCTTTGAAAAGACATAAAGAAATTTACGGTGAAAATTATCAATACAAACCAAAATCCAAAAACAATAAAAAAGCAAGACCAGAACAAGATGACAAAAATCTTGAATTAATTTCACCTCCGACTTCTTCTGATGTTAACGGCTCCCTTGAGTCAAGTCCGTTCAGTTTTGGATCTCCCTCCTTAATGGACAACGATTTTCAAATGGACTTTGAATCATTACTTATATCTAATGACAATTATCAAAATCATTTTGAATCTCCTCTTACGACCAACTATCATCCTCAAGAATTGGAATCTCCATTTACAGCTGTTGATTTTGTATCGAGCTCCCCATACGAAACTTCTCAATGTATGATAGACTTCTCGCCGCCAACTCTTCCTTATTTTAATGATATGTATGTCACGAACTGCGCTAATTTCGCACCGATGAGTTCTATTGCTCCATCACAAACTTTCCATATGCCATATGGATATGGTCCCGAAGGTAATTTATTTAGTAAGACTGATACTATTCTTTCATTCATCAAAGATTCCTTTTCACAATTACAACTTTTCATTTTAATTTTTTCTGTTGTAGGTAACGTTGCACCTTTAAACCCAACTTCTACAACGTCACCACCTGATACAACACATATTAGTCAGTTTTCCGAACATGAATATGCTTTGCTTTTGAAGGACTTAATCTCCGATGGACACATTATTTCCGAAGAAATATCACCTAGTCAACCCGACTTTTATCTTTTCTCAAATGAAGTTCCTTTTTTAATCTATAATAACCCAGATTTTGGATCTCTACAATAGTTATTCGTTCATTATCTCCACAATCGTTAGCTTTATGTTATTAACACAGAAACACGAAAATGAAATCTTTTCATTTTTCCCACAATTATCAATGATGTTATTTCATTATCCCCACAACATAGCGACTTGACCATATGTTTCCTTCTTCACGCGACTTCTCCTAATTATTGCTGGTTGAACATTGGGCCAATGTTCATTGGTCCATTATTCAACCAGCGAAAGGTTAGCCGTTGTGGAGACTGTGTACAAGTAACTACTGTGTAGATCCTTTATCAACATTAATTATAGTTATGTTATTAGGTTATTATTTATATATTTAATATTTATCTATTATATTTATTGATTTTATTTATTATTTATTTTATGTTATTATTTTATCTTTGTATTTATAACTATTAAAAAAGTTATTTATTTCCATGATTAATAAAAAAATATGTTGTTAAATAATGAGAAGATTGTTAATTTCTGTTAACTTGTTGAGTTATTGTATTTGAACCGACGGACCTTAAAACATGTGAATGTTATATATTGTTTAATGCTGATGATTTTTCTTTTTTTTTTTTAGTAATTAACGTTTATTTATGTATGTAAGTTGATGTCAATAATTACATTTCAACCCCTTCCCCCCATTATATCGTTCTACGCTGTCTCGGAAAAACTTTGAACGCTTTGATTTTATAAAAGTAATCCCGTTAATATAAATTCCTCTAATATATAATAACATTTAATGTTGTAAAAATTCGTGGTTCATTTGGGGTAAATCTGAGATAATGTATTTATGTAATAATTCCAAAACTTGATTTCTTTTATGATTCTAAAGCGAGACTTAAACTTCAAAGAAAAATGATGAAATCTTTCGATGGATGTGGAGAAATGAACATATATACCGTCAGGTTATTCATTGCCTTGGCTAAAATATCAGTAAACAATTTTAATAATGAAATCTTAAATACAACTTTTCGCTCTTTCAAATATACTTTGTTAATATTCTCACGATAAAAATGAGTAAGACGAGTAACTCTATTTTCCCTGCTCTTGATGCCCTTTTCTCGTCTCAATCAGAAATAGACAGTGGACAAGGTATGTCTTAGCTTTTTCTTTCTTTAAATTTGGAGGTAAATCGAAAAAATAGTTCAGAACTGCGAAGAACAAGATCTCTACAATAAATTTCCCTACCTTACAGGTACTTCTCAAAGGGTTTATTTTTTATAACAAAGTCATGCATTGACAACGGTACTCTATCCCGTAGATCACAATCGACACCCAGAACCAACGATGAGAGTGTTCGGGTGACGGTCTATGTTATCTGTATACGAGCAAGATCAAAAAAAATATGTGAAATCAAAGATATTTTTACACAAATATTTCATTCAAATCGCAAATTAGATAAAGATTCTGCGATCAGACATGTGCCCGACAACACTGAACGAATCTTGGAAAACCAATCTCAAAAAATTGATGGTGGTTTCATTTGGAGCATCAATCGCGGGAAAACGCCAACCCAGAACTCACATGATCAAAAATCGACAGAAGAACGATCGGTTCCCACGAGATCAGAATCAAGAATTGATATCAAATTTATAACCTTAAGGACATGGAAATTGCTCGAAGGTCAACATTTAGACGCATCTAAGCCAATTGAGACCCAAAATACCAGTTCGTATATAGGTAAACATTGAAAAAGTATCTTCTTAATCCGATCTGACATGCTATCTGCTAAATAAAAGAAAATTTTTTTGATCGATATTATCCTATTCCCACCAAATTATGCCTCCAATCATCAACAGTTTCCTTTGAGCATAGCAATAGATTCTCGATCGGATTTCAAACAGAAAAATAAATCACCAGAACTTTTACAGGGTAAAGCATTGATTATCTGCCACCATAATCAGCAAGCATTTGCGATTTTAGTTTTTATATTAGTTTAAAAAATTAGAACGACGGATCTCTTTTGTGATAACAATATAATTTCCGGATAAATGTGTCGTGAACTGTAATGGTTTGACTTTAACTTTTTTTATTTACAAATATTAGAATTACATAATGACGCTACTTCAAACTACCTATTTGTTAATATTTACTGCTCGCCCCTTCGTGGTGCTAATAAGACCTCGAAATTCTGTCATTAGTTTGTAATTCAGAAGATACTTCATAATAAATGCCATAACCGATTAATCATATTTTAACGCCTCGATACCTATACTTTTTGTCGTCTCATTACAAGGGCAGTACGTCGTAAATATGCTAGCCCTATTTGCAGATGCTTGAGTCTATTAATTCTCTTAACCAGGGCTCCATTAATTATTAAGAGAAGCTATGCAAAAGTGCATCTGACTGAACAACATTGATCGAAGTCCCAATCTTCTTTTGACTTAGGACTCTCACACCTCAGAAAATTTTCCTCAGCTAGGTTCTTAGAACCCATAGATTGAATTTCATCGGAATTGCCATCTGAATCGTCGTCTGAATCAGAATTATTATGCTATGTGATGATTCAAGTTCATTTAATACATCTGTTTCTAATTCTATCTCTATCTTCGAGCATGTGTGAGAAGTTAGGGGTTCGTTCTGTCTTTTTTTTCTTTATACTGTAGTCTTCCTCCTCTCAACCTTCTCAAGAGCTCGAAGCCAAGACACATTCTCATGAGGTGAAAATAATGACTTTTATAGGTAAGGCAATATTTTTCTGTAACCACTAGTCTTGGAAACCCAAATCTTGAACATTTTTTACAGAATATAAAGGATGTGGAATAGTATTGACTATGAAAAGCATAGTCAATAAAATGAATGCAAAAAAACAACAATTCGATTCGTTATTATTTATTTATTTATGAAAAATAAATTGTCAAAGAATTTGAATTTTTTATAAAATGTAATATTCAGAGTAGTTAAAAAACTTACTATATGATATGATTTTATTATAAAGTAATAATTTCATAAAAGAACTACTAAATTTGATGCATGTTCTATCTATTCTTTTACCAGATTCACCTATACTTAATGTAACACTTTCATCTGATTCTATCATTTCTAAATCAATATGTTTACTATTTTTAGACATTAAAGAAAGATATCACTGATAATATCAAACTTTATATTGCATTTACTGATAAATATGAAAATATCATAAATGATGATATAGTGGATATTTGTAAAGAAGTTGTATGTTCAATTAAAGCGGAAACCTTATATAAATAATACAAGAAGTTTATATACTAAAACTATGTAATTATTGTATATTGTAAGTAGAATTAGAAATTAGAATTGATTTAATCAAAAATCAAATCTTGAGAATTAATTAAAGTTTCAATTAAGATTCAATTTGACAATTCAATTTTTGATTCTATTTAATTCATTGATCTCATAACACAAAATTTTAAAATCATTTTATAATAAATTTATTTATTTAAATATATTAAATTGATTAATTCAAAATTATCAAAAAAAAACTAAAATTTAAATTCACTTCCAATCTAATAAATTATTTTTCATTTCAAATAGTTTATATGATTCCTATTTTTTTTAAAAATATAATTTTGTTAATGATATTTGAAACTAAATGATTTCTTTGAGAAGTAATTAAATTATTAGTTTCATAAAAAAGTTTTCTGATGGTACAGAGGTAGCCAGAATAGAAAAATACTTCATTACCATTTTATGTAATATAAAATATTGGGATTTCTTAGTTATTCATTATGCAAAGAAATTAAGAAATTATACACTTCAAAAGCTGGTAATTTTGGTAAATTAAGGTAATTATTTTTTATTGAAATTACATTTCTTTTATTTTATTTTTTCCAAAAATTACTCATTGTTGTTAAATTACTTTGACTTCATTAGATTTTACAGAAATACTAAAAATCAAATCGGATTTAATTCGAATAAATAGTAAAGCTATCTCCAAAGCTTCAGGAATGGTCTTACTAAAAAACTATAGTAAAAAGTGCCTCTACAGCTTCAAAAATGCTTTTTTTACTAAGAAAATCATAGTAAAAAGCACATTTGCAGCTTTAAAAATGCCTTTTTTACTAAAAAAAAATAGTAAAAAATGACTTTATAGCTTCAGAGATATTATTTTACTAAGAAAATATAGTAAAAAATGTCTCTGTAGTTTTAGAGACACTATTTTACTAAAAAAACATAGTAAAAACGTCTTCGTAGCTTTAGAGATGCTATTTTACTAAGAAAATATAGTAAAAAATATCTTTACAGCTTCGAAGACGTTTTTTATTAAGAAACCTAGTAAAAAATGCATTCGCAGCTTTGAAAACATTTTTTTACTAATAAAATTATTACGAAGCTAAGATGGCGGTTATTACTAAGTTTTCTTAGTAAAACTGAAGTCGTAATAACAGTTATTACTAAATTTTCTTAGTAAAACTGAAGCCATAATGGCGGTTATTACTAAGTTTTCTTAGTAAAACTGAAGCTGCGATGGTAATTATTACTAAGTTTTCTTAGTAAAACTGAAACTGCAGAATTATTTTACTAAGTTTAATAGTAAAAATTCACCTGTTACCAAACTTACTTTGTAAAAGCTATCTTTGAAATTTTTTAGTACAATTAATACAATTACTAATAATTTTCTTAATTAAGACTTTAAAATAACTTTATTTTAATATATCATTATAAAAATTAAAAAATTTTTTATATTCAATTCAATTCGATCAATTCAATTTGATTCAATTTGATTTGATTAAATATTTGAATTCAATTCGATTCAATTCAATTCAATTTGAAAAAATCAAATCAAATTCAAATTGCTTAAATATTAGATTCGATTCGATTTTAAGAAACCCTATTGTTTATAATTGATTAATAATTTCTTTACACATTTTTTTGAGAAACTAAAGTCTAAACTTTTATTCTTTTAAATAAAGTTCTTGAGAAAATTTTCATCTTGATTGTAAATCTTCTAAAATTGCTTTTCTACAATTTTATACTATATTAGTTTTAAGAATTTCTTTTAAACTATACAAACTTGGATAAGTTAAACTAATAGTTGAATACAGTCACATCTTGATATAATGAAGTTGCTGATTCAGCCAATCAGGACTTCATTATAAGAATCTTCGTTATAGCGTTAATGAATTATTTGTTATAGTAGATGATTACTGATTTCATTACACAAATATAATTTTACTATGATATAATTTTTCCAGAAA